CATATCAATTATGCGGTCGCATTTTGGACCGCATCTTGACCTCAAGTTTTAACCAAACCACTGCTTCACTATGCGGTAGGAATGCGGTCCGCATACCGGATCTGCGACCGCATTCTTGACCGCATTCGGAGCCGACACCACAAGATTCTGGTTTATGAGCCAAAAATTTTACGGGGCCTCACAGTTATAGGCACACATGGTGTGGTTCTATTGGGGTTTCATAGTGGAATTCAAGCGGGAAGAGTAATGGATATTGCTCGGCGGATGGCGTATCGGTTATATCCTTTTGGATTGTGTGGTGTTATGTATTTGCTTCACCGTGGTTATGTTGATTTGCTTTGATTCTAGACATCAATTACGCGTGGTCGTCAATTTCGAGCAGAGTGACTTGAGGTGTTTCATGTGGACCAGTGTTTGGATAGGGTCGCGCATTGCAGCGAAGTTATGTGGAGGTATGACCTTGTGGGTAAGATTCGTGTGTTCTGTTTCTCTGATGTGAGATGGGTTCTCAGCCTTGTGTTGTGGTGGTACTGGTGAGCTTTCGGTACAGCTCTTTTGTTCGTGTCGTCTTCATGATTGGAGTGCATTCAGATTGTTGTTTATTGGTGCACGAGTTGTGGCTTTAGATAGTATTGATGTATCATGTCACCAGAGTAGTGGTGTTGGATTAGATGAGATCATCGGGATCTGAGATGAGTACAAACTGATTCGATTTCAGCATGTTGGAAGGGTAATATCGGGGTTTGGCTCAGAAGTTGCTATGGTCTTTGCCAACGGAGAAGTGGCTTCATGAATGGTCGATCTGAGAAATGGTTATGGCTTATTGCATGTTTCATTTATCATGGGTAGCATATGAAAGTGACGGAATGAGACTTTAGTTGATAAGAGGTTTTCTATTGATATTTGGTTGTTGTGTGTAGCTGCTGTGGTTAGAAGTTATCGCTACCAGTGTTTGAGTTGTGTGGTATATCATGTAATTTGCACCTGAGGTTACAGATATGGTTTGTTACGGCTTGTTCGAACTTATTCACCGTATAAATGTGAGATTCTGATCGTATTGATGATTTCAGAAGTGGAAATGTTGTTCTATGGTTTATGGGCTAGATTGGATTGAGAAATTTCAGTTACAATGTGTTATCGGACCTATATGAGATACGGTGACGTGGGATCACCCCCGGGTATATGCGTGTTAAGGTTATTCGGTGATCGGCTGGCTTTTGGAACAACTCTGGGCACGTTCGAGGATGAACGTATGTTTAAGTGGGGGAGGATGTAACGACCCGACCGGTCGTTTTGAGCTTTTCCACCTTGCCCGTCAGTTCTCGGGCAAGACCTGCCCCGTATGATATATTAAGACTTATGTAAATCGTTGGTTTTGGTTTTCAAGGTAATCGGAATGAATTTGGAAGAACAGTTCTCAGTTTGAAGCTTGAAATTGAAAGGTTTGACCAAGATTTGACTTGTTTGAATATGATCTCGGATCGGAATTTTTATGATTTGGTTAGCTCCGTTAGGTGATTTGGGACTTAGGAGCGTGATCGGAATGCATTTTGGAAGTCCGTGGAAGGTTTAGGCTTGAATTGGCGAAATTGAGATTTTTGCGTTCTCCGGTTGTTAGGCGAGATTTTGATATAGGGATCGGAATGGAATTCCGACAGTTGCAGTAGCTTCGTTGTGTCATTCGGGATGTTTGTGCAAAATTTCAGATTATTCGAACGTGGTTTGGTTGGGTTTTTGAGCAAAAGCGATATTTAGAAGATTTTAGAAAGTTTGGCTTGAATCCGATGTGTTTTGGGTGATTTGATGTTGTTTGAGGTGTTTTGATGATTAGAACAAGTTTGAATAAGGCATTAGAATATGTTTGTGCTTTTGGTTGAGGTCCCGGGGGCCTCGGGGTGATTTCGGATGGTAAACGGAGAAGTCTGGATTTTAGTTGCAGCTGTTGAATTGCTGCTTCTGGTATTTTCGCACCTGCGGATTGGGGACCGCAGGTGCGGCGCCACATATGCGGTTGGTTAGTCACAGAAGCGAAATAGGCCTGATGGGCAGAAATCGCAGAAGCGGTTAGAGGGGCCGCATCTGCGATGTCGCAGATGCGGGGATGTGGTCGCAGATGCGATTGTTGGCCAGTAAGTGATTTTCGCAGAAGCGGAGGAAAGCATCGCATATGCGGTACCGCAGAAGCGGTAGAAGTACCGCAGATGCGGAAATGCCTGGGTCAGAATGTATTAATTCCACCTTCGCAATTTTTAGAGGGTTTCTTCATTTTGAACGGGAAAAGAGCTTTGAGGCGATTTTTGAAGAGAGGAAATCATTGTTCTTCATTGAGGTAAGGATTGTGGACCTTAAAACTCGATTATTTGTGATTATGGAACAAAATATCAGTGTTTAATTCATGAAAATCAGTAGAAAAAGGTGGAGTTAGGGCTTGAGATTATGAGAGCTTCTAGGGATGATTTGAGGGGACAAACGAACTCCGATTTTCGAGTTCTTTATATGTACGGACTCGTGAGATGATGAAGAACATTTTGGTATAATGTTTGTCCGGTTCCGAGATACGGGCCCGAGGGACGAGTTTTGACTGATTTCGGGTTTTGTGCTTAAATTCGATATTTTTCAATTGGAATTCATTCTTTTAGCATAATTTGATGATAAGAATCCGAACTTGGTAGATTTGGAGCACTCGAAAGTTGATTCGAGAGGCAAGCGTGTTGCAGAGTAGCTTTTCGGACTAGTTCGAGGTGAGTACTGATTTTAAATGCTGTCCTGAGGGTATGAAACCCCGGAATTTCACAGCGTACGGCTATGTTGAGGTGACTTACACGCTAGATGACGAGCGTGGAGTAGAGCACCGTTGGGGATTATGACTTAGTCCATCCCGAATGATTATTTTACTGCGTATTTGATAGTTAATTGTTTAATATTATCATATTTTGGGCTAAATGGCATACCTGGGCTTCGTGCCAGCTGTTTGAACCCCTAGGGGATTTAAAAATGATATTTTCCTCACTGATTGATTTCATACTGGTGCTCAGTCATACTATATTTTACTATTTTAAAGACTCAGCTGTATTATTCTGTTTTAAACACATTAAATGATATTTTTAAAGGTATTTGAGCTGAGCTTCATATTTTACTGTGGCCCAAGGGGCTTATGAGATTCTGACTGAGTAAGGTCGAGGACCAGTGTTGCGAGGATACATTTGGGTCGAGATGCACGCTGCAACTGTGATACATTGATTGTGATAATGAGGCCGAGGGCCTGAGATTGTATGCCACGAGGTGGCTTGAGATTTATATGAGGCCGAGAGCCTGTTTATGATGCCACGGGATGGCTTGATATTGCGCTTGGGCCGTAAGGGGTCCCTCCCGGAGTCTGTACACCCCCAGTAAGTGCGGGTACCCATTGTGATTTGATATATAGCTCGAGGGGCTGGTATTGTTCTGTGACATTTCCCAAGGGGCTGATTCTGTTGTTACTGTGCCCGAGGGGTAGTTATTATGTGTTTACTTATTAGTTGTTTTCCTGTATATTGTTTAGCTGTTTCAGAGAGGTTTATGAGATTTCACTGCTTAATTATATTTACTGATTGTTATGCCTCTTGTAGCTTAATGTTGTGCTTTACGTGGCTTTATATTACTTAGTCTTCATTTATTTTATTACTCACTGAGTTGGAAGTGCTCACTTTACTCCCTGCACCTTGTGTGCAGATTCAGGTATTTTTGAACCCGGTAGCGGGTATTGGGTGCTCAGAGGCAGAGTCATCGGAATTTAGCAAGGTAGCTGCCCGACGTTCGTAGCACTGCTTTTCTCCCTCTCGATTTCATTAGACCGTATTTAGTGCATTTTTGACTCTAGTTGTATTCGAACCTTAGTAGATGCTCATGACTAGTGACACCCCGATGTCGGGCTGTGTTGGTTGTTATTTCCGCAAATTATACTGTTAAATGCTCATTTTGGGATTTTATTTCTGATTAAAGACTTAGTAGTTATTGTTTTAGTTGTTTAAAGTGAATTGGAGGTGTGTCGGCTGGCCTTGTCTTCACGAGAGGCGCCATCACGACCGGATTGGAATTTAGGGTCGTGACATATATATAGGGCTAGAAAAAATAAATAATATATTTACAGATTATTGTATACTAAAGTTAATAGAAGATAATTAACCTTATTTTGAAAAGAAAAAAAAAATCTCAACGTATGCTTTTATATGAAGCTAAAAAAATATTGCCACAAGTGGAAGTATCTTTGATTTGTCACTCAAGTCTTAGCTTATTGTACCCTTTTTCTTTCTTACAAATCTACATCGTCTTTCTTAAAATGTCTAAATTTAGAAATTTGTTACGTCACTTTAATAAAATAATATAAAGTTTCAAATGATAGATATCGTGTTATTTAAACAAAAGTTATCCTAGTATAACTTCTTCATAACATAAAATATCAAACTCTAATTAATTTTAACTAATCAATATTAATTACAGTGGGAAATATTTTGTTAAACTAATTATGGATAACACATGTACTAGGCTGATTGAACTTGGCAATGAAAATTGTAGAGAAAGATATAACATAGTCTAGAAAGGGTGGTTTAGTAATTTCATATTAGTAGGTTAGTTAGTTACTGACAACCATTCCTAATGTTAGTTAATAGCTTCTATTTTAGTTGTTAATAGTTAATTAGTAAGCTACCTATATATGTATATATATATATATATATATATATATATATATATATATATATATATATATATATATACACACACCACTATGTAAGGTACTCAGATAATAAGAATCAACTCTTTCTCTCTTAGTTTCTATCGATCTTCCTCTCTGTTTCTTCTTCTTCCATCTTCTTCTTCAATCAGATATTAGTTCATGGTATCAGAGCAGGATCAGCTAATTCAATAGCTGAAACCTCGATTCAACTTCTTGATTCACAAAATCGAAATAGTTTTGAGATCTGCTTCTTCATCTTTTCAATCCTTGAAAAATCTTGATCGCTATGGCTAGCAATGAACAACAAACTGTTCTTAATGGAGTTCCAACTGTTCCTCCTGGAGTACCTACTTCAATTCCTAACCAAGGAGGTTTGCATGTACTTGATTGTAATCATCCGCTGTTTTTAAGTCCATCTGATATTAGTGACATTCAAATCATATTGTTTCAACTAACTAGGATTGAAAACTATTCCTTGTGGTTTAGATCTATGAGAATGGCTTTGTTAGGAAGGAATAAGTTAGGATTAGTTGATGGGTCCTGTACCAAAGAAAGTTACCCAGAAAATTTGTGGAATCATTGGGAACGAGTGAATGCCATAGTACTTTCTTGGTTGATGAATTCTGTTAGTAGTGGGTTACTGGGAGGTATACTGTATGCCTCAAGTGCACAGACTATATGGAATGATTTGCATGAGAGATTTGACAAAGTTGATGGCTCAAGATCATATAATTTGCATAAAGAAATTGCAACGCTGAGTCAAGGAGCAACTTCTGTCTCTGCATATTTCTCAAGACTAAAAAATTTGTGGGAGGAGTTTGAGGCACTGGTCCCTGCACCTGGGTGTAATTGCCCAAAATCAAGAGAATTTGTGGTTCATTTGCAAAAATTAAAATTGTTTCAGTTCTTGATGGGATTAAATGATTCTTGTGGTCAAGCTAGGAGTCAGATTCTGCTGATGAATCCAATGCCATCAGTTAGTCAAGCATATGCCATGGTGATTAGTGATGAGAGTCAAAAATCAGTTGCTAATAATGTTGGTTTACTGGGAGCAAATCCTACATCTGGAACTAATCAATATGATGTAGCCATGTATACCAAGACTGGTGGAAATAATCAGAGGATGACTAGAAAAAATTTCAATCTATTTTGTGAAGTATGCAAAATGAGAGGACATTCTAAAGAAAATTGCTACAAAGTTGTAGGCTATCCTCCTGAATATAGAGCAAGGAAAAGGAACACAAATAGACCAGTGCTTACAATGTGTTATTTGATATTGGTATACAGGGTAATCAGGTGTCTAGTAGCAATTGGAATGAGAACAGTACTCAGAATTCTCAACTAACAAGCAGTGCAATGAGTGTGAACAATCCTCAGAACATTGGACAAGCAAACAATACTCCTTGGATGGCCAATTGCACTTTCACTAAAGAGCAGTATGATCACATTGTGCAACTACTCAACAAAGATAATTCAGCTTCTGCTTCTACTATAGCAACACCAGCAACTAATGCAACGGGTATTCCTTGTGCTCTATTAGCCTCAAATACTCTTCAAGAATGGATTATAGACACAGGGGCTACAAATCATATGGTAGCTGATTTAGAATTGTTAAATAAGGCATCCTTACTACAAACAAATCAACAAAAGAAAGTACACTTGCCTAATGGAGAAACTACTCAAGTTACTCATATTGGAACTAGTGAACTAACAGAAGAGGACACTATAACTAATGTGTTCTACATACCTCAATTTAAGTATAATCTATTATCTGTCTCTAAAATAACAAAAGAACTGAAATGTTTAGTTGCTTTCTTCCTTGATTTTTGCATATTTCAGGAACTCTTCAGTGGGAGGGTAAAAGCGATTGGTAGAGAAGACAGTGGTTTATACATTCTCAGTAGAAAAAAATTACCAGGAAATAAAGCAATTAGTTTAAACACTAAGGAGATAGAAATCAGTAAAAAAGTTAGTTCAAATGACATTGATCTTTGGCATAGGAGACTTGGCCATGTATCTGCTACTGTTCTCAAGAATCTACTATCTGCAAATGCACAAGATATATCTGCTAGATTAGATCTATGTACTACTTGTCCTTGTGCAAAGCAAACTAGAAATCCCTTTAGTATCAGTAGCATAAGAACTTCTACTATATTTGAGTTAGTTCATATGGATTTGTGAGGTCCTTACAGAATCTCTATTGTTGATGGTAATAGACTTTTTCTAACTGTAGTAGATGATTTTTCTAGGATGACACGGATTTTCTTGTTGAAATTGAAATCTGATGTGTGTGTGGTTGTACAACAATTTTTTACTTTTGTGAAAACACAGTTTGGAGCAATTGTTAAAACGGTCAGGAATGATAATGGTACTGAGTTTGTTAATTTAGTTTGTGAAAATTTCTTTAAGAATCTAGGAGTAATTCATCAAAAGACATGTCCTTATACTCCTCAGCAAAATGGAGTAGCTGAGAGAAAGCATAGACATATCTTAGAACTCACTAGAGCTATAAGGTTTCAAGCAAATATACCAATCAAACTCTGGGGATACTGTGTACTTACTGCTGTATATATTATTAACAGATTGCCTAGTTCTGTAATTGATAATAAAAGTCCTTATGAAAGATTATATAACAAAAAACCCACATTACAACATCTTAAGGTTATAAGCTGTTTATGCTATGCAGAAATGGTTAATCAGAATGATAAACTAATGCCCAGAGCAAAACCTTCTGTTCACATGGGATATGTTACAGGTCATAAAGGATATGTGTTATATGATCTAATAGATAAAAGATTTTTTGTCAGCAGAGATGTTCAGTTTAGAGAAGACATATTTCCTTTTAAAAACAAACAGGACAATAACAAATTACTCTTACATATAACAGATCCAATACCACAAACTACAACTCTAGAAGATCACATGTATTCAAATCAACAAGAAGATTCAATTACACCTGATACTACACAGGAGTTCACACAATACTTTGAACCCAACTCTACAGAAGTTGTACAGACTAACAATCAACAAACTTCAACCCTACAACAAACAGATCAAATTCCACAATCAATTACTAATCGATTAAACATAAGGAAGTCAGGGAGAGGGAATAAATCACCTATATGGATGAAAGATTTTGTGTCATTAACTGCACAACAGAATGAACCATATGCAATATGAAAATACTTAACCTATGAACACTTAAGTCCTACATATCAAGTCTACTTAACAGAAACCTCAAATACTACTGAACCAACTCTTTACTCTGAAGCTATAAAGGATCCTAAGTGGATAGATGCTATGGAGGCTGAGATTGAAGCCCTACAAAATAATCACACATGGGACATAGTAACTCTGCCTACTGGTAAGACTCCTATAGGATGTAAGTGGATATACAAAATCAAATATAAGGCTTCTAGTGAAATAGAAAGATTTAAGGCTAGGCTAGTAGCTAAGGGATTCAGTCAAAAGGAAGGGATAGATTATCAAGAAACCTTCTCTCCAGTTATCAAAATGAAAACTGTCAAAACTATATTAGCTATAGCTGCTACAAAACACTGGCATATACATCAAATGGATGTATATAATGCATTCTTATAGGGAGATTTATTAGATGAGATATATATGGATCTGCCACAAGGATTCACAAGTCAGGGGGAGAATAAAGTATGCAGACTTGTCAAATCCTTATATGGATTGAAACAAGCTCCTAGGCAATGAAATGCTAAACTAACAGAAGCTCTTCTAAAGTATCAATTTCAGCAAAGTCAATATGATCAGTCCTTGTTCTTTAAGAAAACTGCAGAAGGTATCACAATGGTACTAATATATGTAGATGACATGCTTATAACTGGTGATTCCCTGAAATTAATAGAGGAAACCAAATCACACCTACAACAGTCCTTTAAGATGAAAGACCTAGGGGAATTAAAGTATTTCCTAGGTATAGAATTTGCTAGATCAAAACAAGGCATTCTCATGCATCAGAGAAAATATGCACTAGAATTGATTTTTGAGACAGGTACTGTAGCTGCTAAACCAACAATAACACCTCTTGATGTAAACATGAAGCTTACAACTACAGAATATGATGAACATATCAAGAAAACTAAGTCTACTGCCTCGATGAATGAAGAATTGGCAGATATAAATTCCTATCAAAGACTGATAGGCAAACTCTTATACCTAACAATGACAAGACCAGAGATCTCATTTAGTGTTCAAACACTAAGTCAGTTCCTACAAAGACCAAAGAAGTCTCACATGGAAGTAGCTCTAAGGATTGTCAAATATATCAAAAAAAGTCCAGGGCAAGGAATTCTACTCTCCAGCAAAGACAACAACACTCTTTCAGCTTATTGTGATGCAGACTGGGCTGCCTGTCCTTTTTCAAGAAAGTCTATTTCAGGTTATTTGGTTATATTTGGAGATTCATTAATTTCGTGGAAGTCCAAAAAGCAAACTACCGTTTCTAGAAGCTCAGCAGAAGCTGAGTATAGAAGTCTTACAACAACTGTAGCATAACATATTTGGTTAATTGGATTACTAAAAGAAGTGGGAGTTGATATCGAGTTACCAGTTGAAGTATTTAGTGATAGTAAAGCTGCAATTCAAATTGCAGCAAATCCAGTGTATCACGAAAGAACAAAGCGCATAGAGATTGATTGTCACTTCATTAGGGAAAAAATTATACAAGGCCTTATCAAAACAACCTACATATCAACAAAAGAGCAACTAGCAGATATCTTAACCAAAGGGCTCAACAAGGTGCAACACGAATATCTTTCCTCCAAGCTAGGTGTTCTTAATGTATTTTCAGTACCTAGCTTGATGGGGAGTGTAGAGAAAGATATATCATAGTCTAGAAAGGGCGGTTTAGTAATTTTATATTAGTAGGTTAGTTAGTTACTAACAACCATTCCTAATGTTAGTTAATTAGTTAATAGCTTTTGTTTTTGTTGTTAATAGTTAATTAGTAAGCTACCTATATATATAGATATACCCCACTATATAAGGTACTCAGATAATAAGAATCAACTCTTTCTCTCTTAGTTTCTATCGATCTTCCTCTCTGTTTCTTCTTCTTTCATCTTCTTCTTCAATCAGATATTAGTTCAAAAATGCCCGAAGAGGCATTAATATGATTTGTAATAACTTTGAACAATGTTAGTATTAATATAATATATTCCCATTTATAAAAATTAAAGTGTTTGTTTAATTTTTTTAATTTATCTATAGTAAAAGAGCAGTCTAATACACAAAATAATCCGTTCAACGTGGTGTGGGTGGGTGAGTTCTTGCGGCCAAAAAATTATATCCTTCAATACTAAATTAGAGAACTAGAATCTCTAAAACGAAGTTGTCAAATGCTGGTTAATATGCACTTGAAAATCTATATTTTAGCATAGCCTATGAAGCTAAAACTCGATTTTATGTATAAAAACAACCCAATGAATCTCAAGGTTTCACCATTTTCTATTCTCCATTGTCTTTTTCATCTTCTAAATTTCTCTTCTAAATTAAAAAAGAAAGACAACGGCCTTTTATACCCAAATATTTCTTATCTTCGCCATTTCTCTCTTCCTTACAACCCTCCCCTCTAAGGCATACAAAAATTACCCTACTCTATCACAATCCAATGCACATGCCCTTTCCCCTCAACAATCCTCCTCCTCCTCGTCCTCAACCTCATCCTCTGCTTCTACTTCGGCCTCGGCCTCTTCGTTGTCGTCCCTAACTGCCTCTGTAGCCTCTACAACAACTTTTAAAATTCCAAAAAGCATCCCCGTTGTCTCAACAGGGGATGTCTCGATATTTGTAAAAGCTATCATGGATGCAACAATGTCCAAGACCGACAAATTTATTACCAAAGTCATTGACAAACGTTCGGCTGAACCAAACACAGACATTTATGCTAAGGATTGTCTTGAGACATGCAAGTCTGTGTTTGAAGATGCAAAGGATGCAATGAAGAGGACTGAGGAAAGCAGGAAATATGTACAAAGCTAATGTGGATATTAGTGCCATGTCAACAAACATCGATACTTGCAATGAATGTGCTACTTCTATATATGGATTTGATCCTGAGTTCAAGAAATTTGACAACTGGGCACAAGGGATTGCTAGTGATTGTTGTTTACCGTGAAAATGGTAATAACAATTAAATTTGATTACGGGACTCTAAAAATACGTAATCTCTTTTTATGCTAGTTGTTAAGTAGTTGATGCTATGTGTGAGACTTAGAAACGAAATAAGAGTTAGGAATAAGGTGATAACCAAACCGATAGGTTGATAATCGGGGCCTCGAGGTCGATTCCGTGGCTCGGCTAGGAGCTATCGGAGGCAGTTGAAGAGCGACCAACAGTTATAATGAAATCAACGAAGGCTCTTATGGCCAATGATAAGCAATAAATGATAAACAATAATGAAGATAATAAATGGAAGTAATAATATCAAGGGAATATGTTAGAGAGCATTGAGAACGTTCTTATTCATTTAGTATGGAGCAATCAATACTTACAATATGGAAAGGACCCCCTTTATATAGAATAGGGGAATCCCATCATAGTACAAATGCATTATTTATTACAAAGATATGGAGATGGGACAGCTAGTTGATGTCATGACGCAAGATCAGACTAGCCTGACAGACTTTGTCGGCTCTAGCTGCACCCTTTGGGAACTCCCCTCTTTTCCAATATAGTCATTGGTCTACATTGACCTGAGGTCGAGCATCAACATCCCTCGAGGGTGAACCTTTACCCCAGTCTCGAACCTTGGGAAGTATGTTCGTGGGGCATCATAATGACGGGGAAATTGGACCCTCCGATTCTACCGTGCACAGATAGTCTACGCGTTTCTTAGAGTGAAAGTGATAAGAAACGAACTTGAATTTTTTCCCCCTCTGCATCTTTTGTAACGACGACAGTCATAAGGTGCAAAAAGACAATGTACACGCAACCCTTGAAGGCCTTTGCATTGATTGCGGCAGTTAGCTGTCCCTTGGCCTCCTTCAACGCGCATGTGGGGCTTCTATAAATATTCCCCTTCTCGTTCTTTCCAACTCACTGCATTTCCAAACCCCAGAAAAAGTTCCTTCTGCCTTTACTTTTGTTCTTTCTTAGGAACTCAACTTCCCCTTTTCTTCCGGAATTTTCCAGGAATGGCGAAAACTTCCGCCTTTGTTTCTCAGGAGAATGTGGCCTCATCCTCTTCGCTTTTATCCCAAGGTGAAGAGGCAATGCCTCCTCGTGCCGAGGAATGCGTTCCAAGATTTTTCACGATGGCTTCTGATTTCAAGGTCGAGAGGCCTTCTTCAAAGCCGGGGCGTCGTGAGCCCGTGACTTAGTATATTAGCTCGATAATAGACGCCGGAAGAGTGAAAGTTGATTATCGTTGGGGGGACGCGGTGCTTGTGGAGACCCTGCTTGGGAGGAGGATATTACTACATACAAAGCCGATTTTCTCAGTGTGTATACTTACCCGTTTACCCCAGGGCCGGTGGGGCCATCCTCGCCCCCGATCGACCCCGTGATTCTCGACTTTTGCCAACGGTATCAAGTGACCCTCATCCAATTCATCCTTCATTCTGGCGTGTTGTTTATATGATCAGGTACTATGTGAACATGGTCGAGGAGATGTCCTTCACCCTCGATCACCTGATCAGGATGTACAACCCTCGTTTCTTCCGCAAGGGCCTAATCAAGCTCCGCTGCCGAGCCCCGAGGACCCTCTTCGCCTGTACCGAGGAACTCGGGAATGGATGATGGATAAGCCGCTTTGTCCGAGTAAGGATTTCTGACCTGATCCTGGCGGAGAGTATGCCGTTCCCCGAGAGGTGGAATGTGGAACGTAAGTAGACACGTTATCTATCATTCCCTCGCTTCTTTTTGACTATATTCTTCCAGGCACTTAATTTTTCTTGCTAATGCAGCCGCAACAATTTATCCTGGCGCGATTCCGGACTTCCCGAGTTGGGTCGGCCGACTGGACTCGATTTGCCCGTATACTGAGCGAGTGTGGCGTGATTTATCTCAAGCTCGGTGGGAAGCTAAGGATCATGCTGAGCCTCTACCCCTGCTGTAGTCACACTTTTCGATCTAAATCAATACTAGCACCGTTCTCGTTCCCTGTGATTACCTCTTGCATTTGTGTAGGTCTGGGGGAAGTCCCCTTGATG